TGGCCGTCTGCCCCACGCGTGGGGGTGGACCCCGGCCCCAGGCGCTTCCCCGCAGGGGGTCCCCCGGGCTGCCCGCAGCCCCGCGCTGCTCCTCCGGGCATGGCAAAAGCAGGGCAACTGGAACTGCACGGTTTAGCAGGCTAACTCGGTCTGCACAGGAAAGCTGATTTAACCCGGGTAAACTAGGTAGAATTCAAGGCAAGTTAAGTTTCAAGTAAAACTGTTACTCAATTAAAGAAAATACAACTATTAAATGAAAGTCCCTGCTTTCTCTCTCCCTCTTTTTTTCATTAAATCTCTTTAAAGTCTTTTGCTAGGTTGAGCAATTAAAATTTCTTGCAATAAAACTGTCCGACCGCTGTCTGATTTTGCTTCAACATCAATGATGGCATACTCGACACTATCTGCACATTTTTAGGATACAAAGAATGTAAAATATGGAAGTCACCTCCTGGCGTCCACGAGGAGACAGGCAAAGCAGCTTCATCTTGCCCGTCATGTGTGTCATGCAGAAGTAGGAAACTGTCCTCCAGAGAAGCGCTGAGTACTGACTGCGACCGGGATGGATAACAGCTTCCAGGCTCCCCGTATCCCCCGGGGCCACCACTCCAGCTCAGAGAGGCAGCTCCTGGCTTCACAAATCGTGGGTAAATCTTGGGAGTGGAGTATGCCTAGGAGCGCAAGCAGGTTAGCAAAACCAATGAAGAACTACTGCACTTGACTTTTTCAAGATGTTTTTAAAGGCTTCTTACAAAAGGGAGTGTATTTTTATTTGTTTACAATGAACAGTTTAGGGGTTTATTGTACTGTTGTCATGAACAGATGCAAGATGATGGTAATTACAGTGAATCAGTGTGAGGTCTCACGCAAAGTGTAGTACGTGCATGGGGAATGGAAAGAGAAGTAAGAAAAAGTGCAGTGAGCCAGAGTGTGGAAAACTGCTTTCATCTGAGCAATAGCTTCTGCTCACAGCATCTCATGGAAGTAAAACCGGTTACGATTGAATTCCTGCATTTAACATTCACTCAGACCAAGCAGCAGTGTGAATCCCTCTGCGTATTCATGCAAAATGCATGCGGAAGATGTGTGCAGGGGAAACCCCAAAGTGGGATCAAAAAGATATGCTCAGGGGAAATTATTGCTCTATTCACCAAACAACTCTGACTATGATGGCACATGAGAGGACAGATACTGTCAAGAGCTCCATTTACTGAGCGGGGATAAAGTGAGGGGGCACGGGAGGCCAGAGCAGATGAAAAATTTACATCTGGGAATGGAGCTAAAATTGCAGGGTAGAGGACATGTTAGGCAGAGAAAATCAGGAATAATGAAAATTCTATTTTAAAATAGTAAGAAAACAAAGATATAACTGATAAAATAAAGCTTCAGTGTGAGAGGCAAACAAGTAGAGGGAATTTTTAACCTCTGTACCAATGCAACAATCATCCTAAAGAAAATAGGGAAATACAATAGCAGCATTACCTGTTACAGCCCATATTCCAGATGTGCCAAGTTTCAGAGTTATGTCAGAGCTCGGATACTGTGTGACATTCCAGATGCCAGTTCAATGATATGATATATCTCCCTTGGTTCCAGTTTCTGTGATCCTCATCCTGGTCACTGCAGGGTGAAAGAAGATATCGTCGATGTGGGTAACGCAGGTAACGCAGCAGTAGTTACCCACGCAGAGGAAAGGCTGGGGAATAAATGATATCATTTTGCTTAAAGAAGGGTCTCTTTCTCAGAAAAGGTGCTACCAGTCGTTTGCATGAAATATGACACAGAGCCACAGTAACATGGCTTTCCAGGATTCACTTACTGAAAGGATCAGCAGAGAACTTTGTCACATGAAGACCTCTCATGTCTGCAGGAAGGAAGAAGAGTCTCAAGTTAACCTGAGGTTTTGGTGATCTGGGTTCAAGCTATTTCCTTTACCAGACTCCTTCTGTGGCCATAGCTTTGTCACTTAGTTTACATCTCCAAGAAGTGCTTGAAGCTACATGTAACTGTCTGTAAAGATCTCTTACTGTATTGCTAGAAAAAGACAAGTGCCCGGATGTCTGCTAGGTACCTGACTTTAATGCCAGGTGCAAAAACATCTTTACAAACCAGACCTTTCATCCAAGATTTCTCACTTGTTTTCATCATTTCTCATAAATCCCAAGAGATTTATACTGTTGCAGAAAATGGAGCAAGTGTTACACCCTCTTGTTCATATTTGCCTACTGAATGGAGTTTGAAGTATTTTTTTTCGCCAGGAAATACCCTACTGTGTTGAGCAGGCACAAACCTGACCAGCACATGTATGGATGTTTGGCACCAGTGTTTCAAAGATCTTAAAGGATGTGGGGCTATGGACGAAAGTCTCCGTTTGTCGCAGGGGTGTAGGAACCCTGCAGAGAAGAGGTGGGGTTGGGATTGCATTGACCAAGACTGCTTTGAACTGACCCTGCTCTGAGAGCTTTGTCCAGAGCTACAGAATTTCTGTGTCAAAAAAACAATGACTTTTTAAAAAGTAATTTGCCTTTAGGCTTGCGAAGAAGAATGTCCAGACATACGGTGAAACAGCTGTCTCAGCATCCACCACCCCCACAGAGTATTATTCTGGTATCTAACTATGGTGGTTTCAAGAGTAGCTACTCATTTTAGGCTGAATGTTCAATCCCCCTTCGCACTGTGGGCTGGGGGGTTCAGCTCGGACTGGGAGCGGTGGTTCTCCTTGACCTCCTAGACACAGAGAAGCTGCACTGCTCCTGAAACTGTCCCTGTTCCCCTGATAAAGAGCAGAGGCCACTGCTTGCCAGGGCCGACACTCCTGGCATTATCACCACACTAAAATCACTAAGAAAAACAACAGGCTGGAGCAGAGGGACGGGTCCGTGCTACACAAACACGGCTTCCAAAGAAGGAACAAAGGGGTACACAGGGTCCTAAATGCCAAAGATGGGCTTTGCCTCCTGCAGTTATTTTTTCCCTTTTGTTTCTGACTGTAGGAATACATTGTTCACTTCATTGTGAAGAGTTCCAGGCAGACATGACGAAAGGGACAAAACAGCTCAAGAAAAGAGACGTCCCGTGCAGCATTCATGAAATGTGCTGTTTGGAAACAAGGAACGAGCAAACAGGAAAGCGCTTTAACCATTGAGAAGACGGGATCCCAGCATGTTCTTGGCACCGGCAGGAACAATGGGGTGATGTCACGAGCCAGAATTCCCCACAGTGGATGGAAGCCCAGCAAATAATCATAATTCTTGTCCTGGGACATTAGCAAAATTTTTCCACAGTTGGTCATACCCCACTGAGTCCCTGTTAGGAAGTATAGGAAAGAGGCATTGTCAAGTGAAGCTTCCCTTGGGACATTTGTCGGCCCCCCTCCCTACCCCTGGATCAATGCACCAGTTGTTATAAATCACTGCTTTCTGCTGACTACGAGGAATTTCAGTGGTGGTGCCGGGAGGCTGAGCACAGGGCTGCCTGATGAATATATTTCACACAGTGAAGAAGGGTGCACACGAGGGTCTGGATAGTTGTAAGGGCGAAGGGGCAGAAGTCTCATTAGCTATCCAGAGCTTTGAGCCTACACAGCATCGGTATGGAGCATTGTCCTTACGGTTTCAAAGGTGCTGAGAATGGCAAGGAGCTCAGGAGACACAGTCTTGCACTAACAGTGCTGTTTGGAGAATTTCAACCAAGTTTAAGGCTCCTAAATGACATGAGAAACATGAGGGCATCCTCCAGATCCCAGACCCTCTTTCTTATTTTGGCTTAAAGTCAGCTCTGTGGAGAGTGACCTGAAGTTCACTTGCCGCATCCAGGCATTTTCTGAAGCAGTTCTTGAATTCTTCATTAGCTCTGTTCTTTTGACAGG